CAGGTGTGACAGTCCAAAAATGCAGGGCCTTTGATTGTCCTCACCACAGCTAGCAATAAAGTGAAGGTTCCATCCTGGCAGAGGAAAGCTGAGAGGAATAGAAGCCCCTATCCAGGGATTTGCTCACATAGCTGGGGTATGAGAAGTACACTACTATGTGTGTAGTAGACCACTGTCCCCACCCCAACTGCAGAGCATTTCCTTAGATATTTTGCCCAGGCAGAAAGGCAGGCCCTAAGGACAGAGGGCCCTTAAGCTCTCCTCAAAAGAATTGAATTTAGTTGGAACAGAGTGTGGAGAAGTTCAAGCCTATGGGTACTCTCCCAAACTATGGATATTATTTCTGGTAGTAAGAAATTCAGAAGGTATTGGTAGCTCCTTAAGAACAGCAAGCTAAGCCATAAGCCAGATGTTTGTCAGAGAGAATCAGTAAAAGAGACAGATAAGAAGATCCCTCTTGGAGTCAGAACAAACCTCAAAGAATGGCTTCAAATTAAATCCTACAAAGAGGACCATATTTTATTGAAATTTATGTCCCAGGAAAATTTAAAAAGCAATAATGTAATCATTCAGTAATTTATGGAGGTGATAAGCTGGTTGTGATGCCAACAGAAGCAGACAGTTGAACAGCAAGATCAGGGAAAGAGACAAAGAAAGCCCTGCTAAAACTAATCCAAGGTTACTGTGCATATGCCCAAGGCTATGTACTGTGAAAAGTGACATTAGATGCTTCAGACTCTGGGGAGCAATAGACCAAGGTATTCAAGTAGTACCATTAAGTCAATAAGAAATAAACAAGTAAACAACCACAATAACTATGCAAACTGGAGAGGGATCAATATCCAGAATTGCTATATTATATTATCTAAAATGTCTAGTTTTCAACAATAACAACAACAACAACAAATGAGACATGCAATGAAACAGAAAAGTATGCACCACACACTGGAAAAAGAGCAGGCAATAAAAACTTCCTGTAGGATGGCTGCCCAAATATTAGACTTAGACAAAAATTTCAAATGAGCCAATATGAATATGTTCAAAGAACTAAAGCAACTCATGCTTAAAGAAGTAAAGGAAGGTGTGACGGTGTTCCATTACAAATAGAATATCAATAAAAAGTTAGAAATTATATAACAAAAGTTAGGAATTAATAATATAAAACAATGAAGTGGAAATTCTGGAATTGAATATTAAAGTAACTGAAATAAAATGGAATAAAAAATTACTCCAAGAAGTCAAGTAGATTTGAACTTGCAGAAGAAAGAATCAGCAAGATCAAAGAGAAAAAAAGAAGATAATGATGTCTACTCTCATTCTTATATTCTACATTGAAGGTTCTAGCCAGGAAAATCAATCATGAAAAGAAATAAGTGATATCTAAATTGGAAAGGAAGAAGTACAACTATTTCTGTTTGCAGGTGATATTATCTTACATATAGAAAAACTTAGGAAACCTAGACATACGCATACACAAACAGATACACACACAGATGGTAGGGGGCATTATTAGAGTAATAAATGAATTCAACAAGGTGGCAGATACAAGATAAACATACAAAAATCAATTATATTTTAATAAATTATCAATGAAATTAAAACAGTAATTCTATTTCAGTAGCCAAAATTAATAAAATTCTTAGAATTAAATTTAACAAAATAAGTGCAAAACTTATATTCTGGAAACTGCAAAGTATTTTTGAAAGGAATTATACCTAAATGAATGAAAAGGCATTTCATGTTCACAAATTGGAAGATATTAGTGTTAAGATGGAAATAATTTTCAAACTGATGTGTACACATTCAGTGAAATCCCTATCAAAATATCAGCTGGCTTTTTTTTTTTTACAACAATTAACATGCAGATAGTAAAATTCACGTAAATTTAACACATTGTCTGCCACACTAGAAAAAAAAAAATTCCCTGGAACGACTGGTGTTTTATTAAAACAAAATAAGCCTTTCTAATTTGTTATTTTTTATTGTTTCCTGTGCATGAGTTATATGCAATGCAATCCGTGTTTTTAGAATTAAATTGTCAATATTAATTGCAACAATAAGAACATCAACAAGTAAGATTTTCAGGAACCAGCTACAGGGGTTTGCTTCATACTGTCCTGGCATCAAAACTAGCCTGAATTAAATACAACTAACACGGGAGTCAATGTGTTAAATGACCCAGAATAGTCAAAATTATCTTAAAGAGAACACGTTTGGAGGACTCATTCTTTCTGTTTTTTGTTTGTTTGTTCATATACATATTTTTTTTTTTATTTCATCATGTTATGGGGGTACAAATGTTTAGGTTATATATATTGCCTTTGCCCAACTCGAGTCAGCACTTCAAGCATGTCCATCCCCCAGATGGTGCACACCACACCCACTAGGTGTTATAGCTGGTACAGGACCCCAAAGCAATACTGCAGCTTGCTCCTCCCAGCAAGCACCACCTACTGACAAGCAGGTCCGATTTTTAAACTTATCACAAAGCTACAGTAATCAAAACAGCTTAGCAGTGGAATAAGGAAAGACATGTATGCAAATGAAATAAAATTGAAACCAAAAATAAACATTCATATTTATATTCAGCTTATTTTTGAAAAAAAAGCACCAAATTAATTCAATTGGAAAAACTAACCCTTTGCACAGATGGTGCTGGCACAATTGCATAGCCACATGCAAAAGAATAAAGTTGGACCTGTTCTACGCTGTACACAAAATTAACTTACGATGGACCATAGATCTAAGTGCAAGAGCTAAAACTATAAATCTCTTAGGAGAAAATTTAGCAGTAAATCTTTTTGACTTTGGCTTAGTCAATGCGTTCTTACATATGACATCAAAAGTACAAATAATACAAGAAAAAAAAGAGATAAATTGGACATAAAAAAAAAAAACCAAAAAACATTGAGCTTCAAGGATACCATCAAACAAGTGAAAGACAACCCATAGGATGGGAAAAAAGTCCTTTGTAAATTATGTATCTAGAAAGGCTGATATGAAATTTGTGTTTAGGATATGTAAAGTACTTTTACAACTTGGTAATGAAATAACAAGTAACTCTATTAAGAAGTTGACAAAGGATTTGAAAAGGCATTTCTTCATAGATAGTATAAAAAAAGGACAATAAATACATGACAAGTATGACCCATACACTGGTATCATTAGCCATCAGTGAAATGCAAAGCAAAACTGCAATAAGACACTACTTCACACAAATTAGGACAGCTATACTGCAAATTGGCTATATCAGCTATCTGTAGTATATATTTTATAAAATAATTAATTCCCCCTTATTCCAATTGTTTAATACTTCCTTATGGGTAATGTAAGTGGGACAATCAGGAATTTCCTTCTTATAGCATGCATATGTCTCCATTGTTACAACTCTTTGTATGTTTGTGGCACACAAAACTCTTTGTGTGTATATGTGGCAGTGTGTATGTGTTTATGTGTGTGCATGCACACATATGTTGTGTGCAAACCTGGTAGGTGTAGAAGAGCCCTATTAGGGAATGAAATGATCATCCCTAATGCCTTCATAATTCAAATCCAATATCAACACAGGGTATATGTCTCCTCCAAGTATTGTTTTATCACACTTGCATACAAATGATATCCAGCACCTGGTGATTGATTTGATAACATTCTCTGATTCTCTGTTCAGTCCAGCTTCCCACTAAGCAGCCTTTCCCAGTTAGTAGCTGGATAGTTTATTCCATATACAAAGTTTATTGTTTCTGAATGTGTCCCACTTACATTTCAGGCAATAGTAACAAATTAAAGTAATAAAGAAAGAGAAAGCAAATAGGGTCCTGGAAATGTCAGGGCTGGGAGATTGCTACTACATGATCACATTCTGGTTTAGGGGTTCCAAGAGTTTGATTGTAAACAGGGGAGGGGGGTCCAGGATTTCTGGAAAAGAGATTGAGAAATATACTTCTAAGCATCCAGGATTTTCAAATTAAGTTTTATTGTTTTCATTTTAGACTGTGATTTGCACTTGAGGATTCGTTTTTGCTCTCTCAATTTGTATTATATGTCACTGAGTGGTTTATAGCTCAGACACAGTCATCCGTAAACATTACTGACCTAGCAACAAGGGAACCTCAAAAATTGTGCTGGACATGGGCCTGTCGGCATGGTTGTAAATACATATTAACATCGCCTGCCTTAGAGTCAGCATGAAAACTGGTCAGTGGCACTAAATATTTATCTTTTTTAAGACTGTATGAGTTGTGAACATGTTTTTCTTTCCCTTGCATCTCTCAATGTAATTATTTAATGATAACCACTTTCTTGCAATTTCAAATAAAAAGCTCATTACAGAAAATTAAAATCACACAGAAAAATACAAAGGAGAAAGTAAAAATCTATAAATATTACACATCCCACCCAAGCCAAGTTATCGTTGTTTTCATTAGGTGAACAGTATCGCTCAATACCAACAGAATTTTAGGATGGAATTGTTTATCACCTGTATCTGTAAAGACTAACTTTAAAAAAAAATAGTGGCGAGATTCTCTGAAGGAAGGAATGAGTGCTTTCTTTCTTGTAGGGACGTTGAAATACATATGTCGTACTTGTATTCCATACAGTGCATAAACAGGCTAGAATCAGAGAATCTGTGCCCAAGTGCAGTCAGGCATTGGGAGAAGAGTGTCTTTAGGAATTTACCAGATCATTTATTGAATATTTTAACTTTTGCCAAAACTGAGTGTATTTGTACATGTATATCAATTCATACTCTGAAATGGCAATTAAAATTATATTTGTGTCACCATGGGAAATAGAGCTTTCTCCAAACTATCTACATAGGGAAATAAGTACCTTGAACATGTTGCTAACTTATATTCAGGAAATTACATCTCTTAACAAATAATGAGTTGAGAAAATGAAGTTCATCTCACATTTTTTTTAAAGCTGCATATATTTCTGCTTCATTTTTGTTAAGGAAAACCCTGAAATGAACCCCTGTTACCTTTGATTTCTATTCACAGCATAAGGGATTGTGTGAGCTCTTCGCCTGGAGTGTGGGAAGGACCTGTGACTTGTTCCTAACCCACAGAAAAGGTAATGGGATGTCACTCACTTGATTATGTTACATTAGATGGCAAAGGTTATAAGGTGCCAACCCCCATGATTACATTGCATTATATGAGACTGAATCTTCTATGTAGAGCCGCATTTATCCCTCTTGCTCTCCTAATGGCATTGTAGAAATAAGCTATCATATTATGAACTGCCTTTGGAGAGAACTATGTAGCAGGAAATGGCAGGAGATGGGTCCCAAGAGTGACCCACAAGAAACAACCATCAAAGACCCAGGCAGCTCAGTTCTATACTTATAAGTGAAAAATTCTGACAGCAGTCTAAATGTATTTGGAAATGGATCCATCCCCAGTTAAACCTTCAGATGAGACCCAGCCTTTGTTAACTCCTTGATTGCAGCCATACAAGGGAACCAGACAACCCATGCCAAAATCCATGCCCCACTGAGATAGTCAGTGGGTGTTATTTGAAGCTACTAAGTATATAGTAATTTATTATACAGTAATTGATAACCAATAGTTTCCTAAATCAAATGCAAGTGTGGACAAAAACTGATATGGCTGCAACCACCTATATATGTCACATATATGGAGGCAACAAATTGACAGTGTGGATCACTAGAATGTATTATTTAATGTGTTTTCCCTTTGTTTGAAAACACAATGTGAGTCTGATAAAGTGTTAGATGGATATCAAAGTATTATTTTATGGGAAGCCTGAACTATAAAGCCTATTGCCATGGGAAACTCTGTGTGTGTGTGTGTGTGTGTGTGTGTGTCTATGTATAACAAAATGTTTCTGATATGTTTATGGTCCCCTGAGTAGGGAAACATGAGAATCAGGACTTGCCTTATAGATAGATTTATCCAGGTTGTAAAAGTATTGCTGTGTTATTCTTTATTCTTTCACATTTATTATCTTTTATAATATGGCAAAAATTATTCCTACTTTACAGATGAAGGAGAACTTATTTGAAAGAATGTAGAATAAAAATAGATATCACTCATATAGTAAAAGGCACTTCATAGTCAATGGCACAAATAATCCTTCAAACAACCCTATGGGGTATGGTTTCCTATCCCCATTTTGTTGATTGTTAAACAGTTTAAATGAATTTTCTAGTCCCTCTCAGCAAGTGGGAGAATAGAAAGATGTGATGATTACTTTTATGTGTCAGCTTGACTTGGCCATTGGATGCCCATACACTCAGCCAAATGTTATTCTGGGGGTGTGTGAAGGTGTTTCTGGATGAGATTAACATTTGAATTGGTAGACTGAGTAGATCAGATTGCCCTCTCTAATGTAGATGGGCTCATCCAATCAGATGAAGGACTGTATAGAACATAAATGCTGACCTTCCTCTAAGTAAGAAGGAAACCATCCTGCCTGACTACCCTGAACTGAGACATCAGATCTTCCCCACCTCCTGAACTGAAACATTCACTCTTCTTTGGTCTTCAGCCTACCAACTTTCAGACTGGAACTAGGTCATTGCTCTCCTGGACCTCAAGCATGCAGATTCTGGGACTTCTTAGGCTCCATAATCACATGACCCAATTTCTTACATTAATAATTATGATATGATATAACATATACTATAATATGATACAATATATAGGATATATATGGGTTCTGTTTCACTAAAGAGCCCTGACCAATACAGAAGGCAAACGCTGGTCTCTCTGATGTCAAAGTCAGTGTTTTTTCTACCACTGTCCTGCTCTCCATGAATGAAAACATGGCTCATTTTTTACAACACCACTTAGGAGTAATAAACATCCCTTAATTATAGTACACCATAGAGCATGTTTTCACATACATCATATCAATTATTTTGAAACACTTATTCTTTTTAGAAGTGTCTTTTTTTTTTTTTTTAAGCCTTCAAACGCCAAAATGTAAAAGAAATGGGAGAGTCGCTGTACTGGTCAGAGTAGAGGAATTGTGTGCAGGACACTGATTGCTCTCAACCCCCCTCCTGAAATTCCAGACCCCCACAGAACACATCTTGAAAAAATGGTAAATATTTTAACTGGGCTTCCACATCTCTGAGGATATGAATGACATGGTTTATTTCCTCTATTTGATATAGGTAGAAAACTCCATGGGTTTACACAGGTCTCTTGTGGCAATAGCATGTTTCTAGCTAACCTAAATAATGGCACCCTGATCTGGGGTACTTGATTCTGGCCTCATCATTTGCTCAGTGATCAATTGTAAAGAAGTTGGTTCTTCCCATTCAGTAAGCTGAGGCAAGTCATTTCTGAGAATCCCCGGCATGTTTAACATCTCAGAGAGCTTAAGAAAGCTATACCAATTCTATGGACCCTATCTATCTGAAATAGAAATGGTAAAGAAATAGTTTATACTTCATATTGATAGCAAGGCAATTATGTAAAAGCCAATGTCACCTAATGGTTAAAAGAAACTTTTGGCTGTGTGACCTTAGGCAACTTACTTTCCCTCTCCTGCTTATTTATCTGAAAATGGGAATGATGATGCCACCTCATGGAATCGCTGTGACAATTGAAGGAACATATGCAATAGTGCCTGTGGTATGGTAACAGACAATTGTATTAGCTATCAGTAGATATGCAAAGTCTTCATAAGGTAAATATTATTTTAAGTTTTGGATCTTGAATTAAATATATTGAAAACATAGTTACAAAATCAATGGCAGATTGCCTTAATGAAGAACAGCCTGTTTTGTATAATACAATAAAATAGAATTTCAATTTCTTTTCAATAGGACCACATTCTACTAGCACACTAAAGTATCAAACGCCAAATCCTCTCATTGAGACCAAAGTGAAATGCCTTGTGCTTAATAAGATAATTGGGTTTTGTTTTTATATTAAATTGCTATTTAGCCACAAACTGTAGTTTCAGAGCTGATGTCCCGCAGTTGAATGGAGCTATAGATGGGATTACAGATAAACCATATGCCCCCATTATAAGTCTCCTTGTCCTGTCTGTGGCTCATTACTTTCCACAGTATAATGAAGACCAATTGCTGGGAGAGCAGAAAGCAGGTCAGTCAGAAAGTACGGAGGCAAGAACGCAGGGTCTCCTGATGGTGTTGGTGATGCCTCATCCCCTCATGTAGTGGCATGTCATGGAGCAACAGCAAGAAATATTCGTCTGACCCTAGGGAGGTTCTTAGCCTCATAATCTGCAGATTCATATGTCAGGGTCTAAAGATTGATAGGTCATAGGCAGGCTCCATGTGCTTTCTGAAAAAATGCACTAAAGAAAAGAGGACCCCCCGTTGAGTTTTTAGTTAACTCATTAACTAGTTTAAGCACCTGGGTTGAACCCCTGTGGATTACTGGTGTGTTCTCTGTATTGGGTCATAGCTCACACAGTTAGAGAATGTCAGTTATTTACCTGGGTATTCAAGGCCCTTCAAAGCTGGATCCCAAATAAGAGATACCATGCTAATGTGGAGATGAACCTTATAAATCAATAAATCTAGGTTTTAACTCTTCTGCCACCTAACTGCCACCTGTGAGTCCCTGTTGCTAAATTGTTTAGGTATTCTGGGCCTTGGTACACTCACTGTGAAGTTGAAACAATTATTAATAAAATATGTATACCATGGAGCAGGCATCCTTAAACTTTTTAAATAGGGGGCCAGTTCACTGTCCCTCAGACCATTGGAGGGCCATTGGAGAGTGCAGCACACATTCCAAACATGCACACTGTGGGCCCAGGATGAGTCCGCTGCTAAGCAGGACAGGTAGAGGCGGCAAAAACACCCGCCGAGCTGGAAAAATGTCCTCGGCGGGCCGCATGTAGCCCGCTGGCCCATAGTTTGAGGACCCTTGCCATGGCGTACTATTCAGCTATAAGAAACAACTGTGATATAGCACCTCTTGTATTTTCCTGGCTAGAGCTGGAACCCATTCTATTAAGCGAAGTATCCCAAGAATGAAAAAATAAGTGCCACATGTACTCACCAGGTAATTGGTATTAACAGATCAACACCTAAGTGGACATATAAGCATAACATCTATTGGGTGTCGGGCAGGTGGGGGGAAGGGGATGGGCATATACATACATAATGAGTGAGATGCGCACCAACTGAGGGATGCACACACTTGAAGCTCTGACTCAAGGAGTAGGGGCAAAGGCAATATGCATAACCTTAACATTTGTACCCCCATATTATGCTGAAAAAAAATAAATTAAAAAAAAATAGGAAAAAAATCCCCATTTATAGAAGTGGGGAAATGGAAAGTCAAAGAGTTCAGATACTTTGTGTGATGTCACATAGCCAGTAAGCCATAGAGTCAAGTTTAAACCAGATGTGTAAGCACCAGAGCCCATACTCTTCAACTTTCCCATGCATCTCCTACTGTATCAAGTGCTTATCAAATCATTCGGAACAAATTTCAGTATGGAGTACTGGTTTCCACAGGACACAGTCTTCTTTTTTATGAACTCTATGATCTTAGGGAAATATTCCAACTTCTTGGGGTCTCTGTTTCTTCCTCTGTAAAATGTAAACAGGTTGGTAAGAGTAGTTAAGTCATAACTTATTTCCAGGACTCAATGAACTGTTATTTATAAAGTACTTAAAACAGTACCTCAATAAATGTTGGCTATTATTATTGTTATTATTTATCATTATTACTTCCTGATGTTTCCTAGTGACTTTAAGCAGAAATGATAATAGAGTCAGTACCAGCTGGCAGACACAATTGTCATTCACATTCAAGCAGTTTAATAAAAGCAAATATCATGTCTTTACATGCTACATTAAAAACACTGCTATTCATGGTACTAGCAAAAGATAGAATTCAGCTGCAGCTGGTGGCATCATGTCTCAATGCTGAAAAAGCATTAGGATCACCTAGGAGTTTTTTAAAAATGTCTGTGCCCAAGTCCCATTTGAGACCAATTAAAATAGAATCTTTGGGTGTGGAATCTTCATATCCTTACATTTTAAAGCACTCCCACACCAGTTGATTTGGAGTCCAGAAGAGACAAGTTTATGAAAGATTTTTAATTCCTGGAAG